GGACTATTTGACATAACCTCAAATCGTGTGCATGTCATCCAGATTCCGAGTGCTACACCTTCTTTCATGAGAATTTTAGCAATCTAAAATCCTCTGAAGATACACTGTTATACTTGTATTTCATTTGAAACATGTTAAAGTAGGCTGATCTACACGAAGCTATCCTAACACCGGTCATTTGTCGTCATAAACGTGTACGTTATCACGATGGCGTGAAGCTGTATTTCTCCATGAAGTTTCCTTTAGTCGCACCAAAGAAGACGAGAAATAGATATTTTTCGATATTTCAGCAGATTTCCGCACATTCTGAAGTAAAAACAATCAAAAAAGGAAAAGAGGAAAAACTCGATTGAACGCTCGTAAACACTGTCAGTTGACTGAGAGTCGGAGCATAATTCACAACTTGTCAGCGGTAGTGATCCATGTAAAACCCAGTCGCAACAATAGCAATTCGTACGACATATGAATCTCCCTACAAAGAGCAGATACGGGCAGTTTTCTTTTCCTAGTGACAGGAACTGAGATATCTCGAATCATCTAAAACTGTTAGAAACTGTTAGAAACTATTAGAAAATTTGCATAAGATATGTGAGGACAGACATCACCGCCGCAATGCAACCGAGTCAATTAATGTTTCCTTCCATGTCTCGATGAAGAAAAAATCGTGACAAAGTTCGAGATAAAAGATTTATTGAAGTCATAATGTCATGATTCCACCTTTCAAAGTACTCATTATCTAAACGCAAATCGAAACTCGTCACTGTAACGAAACTCCTCATAGTTAATATGTAATCTGGATTGCTTCAGGTCCTTCAGAAAAAAGAACAGCGATTTCATCACGGATTATTTTTCATAATTTTCTTCCGGATGTCTATTACAAGCTTAATGAAGGATGAATATAACGCAATATCCGGGTGTTTTATGCGAGAGGAAGTCAAAGGTCTCAATAATTTTCCCTGAGGTGGCCGGCTCACCAAGAAGAAAAGATCGTTCGATCCAATAACTTTAGTCTGTGGAGATTATCACGCTAATAATTGAGGAGGTTGTGCCCGTTGGTTCATCAGTGACAGCATTAATTGTAGTTMTTTCAAATCTGTACTCCTCGGTCCAAGCGACACCGAAAATAGAGCCTTCACAATTTTGTAGGCACTTAGCATTTTATTATCAAGAGGAATAAATCTCCATGCTCAAAGCCAAAATAATGTTTGAGCATGTAAAAGACTCCCTGAAAAAAGCTAAATTTTTGGAAATTGATTTTGATGAAATCCTTGTTCCATTTGATGTACTGCGGGAATACTGAGTTGCTCAAAATCTCCACTTTGTGCTTCCCCCTTAAGTGCCTAACTGCATGCATAATTTAAAAATTTTCATTCCCAAGATACTTGATTCTTACAGACTTGTTCTTATTGGTGAAAATACAATATTTCAACTCTATTTCAGGATCATAATCAGGTCAAACATTAAAACACCAAATTAATTTTGAGATGAATTCAATTTTCCCTCCTTTATCCGAAAATTTCAAATGATACTACGTTTTGATTAAAGCAATACGAGAGCAAAATGAAATAAAAGCATTACCAATCCTACTGCAACTCCTTCCATTGCCATGGTACCCTGGTTTACATGTACAGTTATACGACCCCTTGGTATTTCTGCACACTGCGAGCAGGCTACAGTTGTGTGTTCCTTCGCGACATTCATCAATTTCTGACAACAAACTTCGATTATGTATCAATTTTCCTCAACAAAAATAACCACTAAACAAATATAATAGTTGGCCTGAAATAATTGAAGCAGTTTCTTTCCTGAGGGCATCCTTCTATTCCACACACATTATTGTACTATCCTTTTGTATTGATGCACACAGCATTAGCACTGCAGTGATTGGTTTCTGTAAGACACTCGTTAATATCTGAAATGGTATTATATTACATATTGTTACAGGTGTCATCGTTATAAGACCCACTATGTGAAACTGAGTAGGTTATAGTTTTCCCTGTTCTCCCTTACCTGGTTCTGCCTTGCTTATTTATCACATTGATTATAGTTAGGGATCAATGCAACTGAATTACCTTCATCGCAGAATTGACCCTTGAATCCAGCATGACACAAACATCTAAAACCTTTGTTGGTAAAACCGCTTTGACAAGTGGAGTCGTTCTTGCAAGGGTTTTCGATACAAGCGCTCTGTCACAACAATAAAGAGTCAACTACTTATCAGTTTCACCAAAGCTTCATTATTTAGGAATCAAATTATACCATTTCTGTAAATTGTTACATTCCCCCTGTTTTTGGCGGCTATCTCCCCAATTTTAATTAGAGGTAGGTAGATTTAGGCTGCATGTCTTAGGCTACATATCTCTTCCATCGCCGAGGATTCATAATTAACTCCTATTTGAATTTCTTGTTACTCATCATTTAAAAAACCCTAACTGGATTTGTAGACGTTATCTTAAAGAGAAAATGCCCGTAGAAGTTGTAAAACATAAATGACATTAATTCAAAGATGGCATATCCGATGCAACTGAATGCTCATTCTATATTCATGTCCCCGAAAAGGTCTTTCCTTTCTTTGTACAGCATCATATCTCGTTATCTGTGCAACTGATTTCACTCAACTCCCTCTTATGGATAAGCAAGAGCTAGCAGTAAAAGAAGCACGTGGAAGAAAAAATTTTCCAAAAAATTAAACCACTGTCATCTGTCCTTAGGATGGTTTATTTAGTTTACTGCCAAGGTGACGTTACTTACTTCAGCTCCACGATAAAAATAACTTATGTTTCCTACAAGGTCTTCGTCATGTCCTTCATGAGTGGAATTATTCAGTTCACAACTGTGCATTCCACTCTCCCCGTCTGGTTGTTTTTCAAAATTGTAACTGACACAATCAGCTTCCAGATAGCACAGCACCCAACAAGCCTTTGCATTTGAAACGTCATGAACGTGAATCACGTGGTTTATGAGGCGTTCACCATCAAATGCTTTATGAGACGTAAAATCCAAACGGCGGCATCGAGAGGCATCTGAAAGAGCAAATTCGTTTACCGGAAAATAGAGAACCACTGAAAATTTCTCTTTCTAAACGTACGCCATTCATTTATTTGTCTATTTATTCGTTTATACGTTAGCTTTATTATTTATTTATTCATATCTGTAATTATTCACTCGTGCATTTATTATATATACCTATGCATTTATTAGTCTATTTTTATTTGTTAGTTGAAGAAGAATTGCAAAGAATGCAAAAACATATGCTATATCATTACGTTCTAGATAGCTATGACTGTCTATTATAAAATTGCTGTAAGTTATGCCTCTAACCAATAGTTCTTATAATTCGAGCAGTTTTCAGCTACCTCTGTTATCAAAGTACCCTGTATCCGCTAATATGAAGCTTTACTGAGTCATTCTTGCTATTCCTGGCCCCTAAAAGTCGTTTAAGCTGCTCAAATTAAAGTCAAAGTTTTTCTTACTAACTTCAGGCAAATCTTAAATAAGATTCGTCTTTATGACGCAGTCTTCTAAAACCGGTCCGATGCATTCGGTCCAAAAAATCGATTTCTCTCAAACTTTGCCCATAAATCTGTCTTAGTCTAAAAGTCATTGAAGCCACCTAGGCCTTGGTTTCTCGTAATATTGTAAATTTTTTTTCCAAACGAAAATCGCTTCAGCGCTCAAAGGCTCGTTTCTAAAAGCGCCAGTCTCCAAAAATTGGCACAAACTGAATTACTCGTCTTTTCACAAAACTCTTGTTTGACGAATTTTTCCTGCTTCGCATATTTTGATCGCTTGCTGAGAATAAAGCACATAAGTTTTTTTTTTTTTGACGGATTTTACATTGTCAGTATGACACCTTCTTTGCCTTTGCCATGATCGTAAATATGCAACTTTTATTCTCGGATCAGCGTAAAATTCCATTTTCTTTCCCAATATATTTTTTCTAAACTGGATAATAAGATATCAGTTGGAGTAACATGGCTATTTTTATATCTATCCTGACTTTCAATGATTTATTCCTTTTTCTTTCTTCCTCGTTACTAAGTTAGAAACAAAACAATAAGTAGCTTAGAGCGAAGAGTCAGAATGTACATTTTGCGTCGGCCAGCTCTGCTAGAAGCTCGCAGAAACCACAACTGCCCTATTTTAGTTAGTCTGATTAAAAATATCATGGGAAGAGGTCGGAGTTCTGAGCTTTTCGAGTTGTATTTCGATATTTTGAAAGGTGCAGGTGTTAAATATTTATGTTTGTGATCTGCTTTGAAGTTTATCCATTTGTGATCATCACTCTGTAGTTTCGCAAACTTACCTTGCGATTTTACAGCTCTGATAAAAATGCCGCAAGACTCCAGTGCAATATGACCGATAAAAATGGATGACAAGACCTGAATTGAGCTGAGGAACTTCAGTTGAATCTGCATTGTGTTAGACTAGGAATTTGTAAGTGAAGGCAATGGTGCTTGTTAATTTATTTTTTCTAAACATTTAGCAGTCCCTCCACCCAATCGACCAATAGAGAGTATTGCATACGCCATTTGCATCCATTCAATTACTATTCTTTTTATTTTTAAGGCTGTGGGCGGCTTTAGAACTTCCTTTTTTCAATCAATATTTCCTTTTGAATGCCTTTAGGTGTCCCTTGGAACTAATCAATAATAAATGCTTCCAAATTCTCTTTTTAATCATGAATTCACGAGATAACATTTATCTAGAAAAGTTAACTTAAGAATTCTAGAACAAAGTTTTTGAAAAGTTCATTTCTCAACTTACAGAAATTCCATCTCCAGCTCAATCCGAGCTAATTTGTTTCAATTTTTTACAAACGTCTAATATGATCTCACTTTCCTTTCATTGTGTATCTTCTCCAAATGTATTTACATATTGACCTTTGGCAACACCTGTTAAGCTATAATGATTATCAAATCGTTGTATTTCAAGAAGAAAAAGAAGAAAAAACTAGCAACAAAGCTATGGCTATTTCAAAATTGTTATTGATAAGATTAACTGAACAGATATTCATTTCTTTTCTTGGCGAATGTTCATATCAAGAGGTCGTAAGCCCATAAATATCATTTTTCTTATTTTGTGTCATCTTGGTTTGTTTCGTGTTTCAGCTTTGTTTTGTTTTTGTTTATGTTCTTGTCCCTTTCTTTTTTTCGCTTGTTGTTGTTTTTGTTTAACATGATCACTTTCGAATCTACAAATAAGAACAAAATTCCAAAATGTGTCAGAGGTAAATCTTCTGAATTAGATAAAATAGGGTATGTTTGGCCCTTTGGCATAGGAACACGACCAATCGCGATAGCTGAGGCGAGTTCTGGGTTAGAACAGTGTTTCATTTCGTTTAGGTTACAAAACTACTCCGTGACATTTTTTAAAATCTGGAAAACTCTCTCCCGGTTAGAGTTTTTAATCCCCCTTTAAGCCAGTGGAAACGATTTCATAGAGAACTTTATTTTCCATAAAAAAATTCCTCCTCTGCAAACATACACTCACACTATCCCTCACATACTCGCATGTCATACATAGATGCGGTATTAACCAAGCGTGAGGTCAAGATGGCCGGATATTGGCCGAGTTCTCTTTTTGCATTTTTATGGACCGAGACAAGGTCGAGGTCCGTAAAAATGCAAAAAATGAACGAGGCTAGTTTCCAGCATCTTTGACCGAACAAGCTTGGTTAATAAAGTATTTTTTATATCGCAAAAAGATTTCGCTTTCTTAAGAATTAAGAATGACTTGTTTACCTCGAGAGCCAGGAAAGAACGCCAACTGTCTATGTAGCACAACAAACTCACTAGAGTCGTTTCTATTTTCTTTGTTTTGACCAGCTATCTTCTGCCTCTTCTCGGGCTTCCATCGCCCAAATTGTCCAAGAATTACGAACATAGTTCTAATAGCCCATTTGCGAATTACCCTTGGCCTCATTTTCAAAACGAGTCCTCGCGCTAATCCTTTCTTATGATAATAAGTTTCCATTCACATGCAAATTAAACTCATTTTCAAAAGAATGGTTGAGCACGAGGACTCGTTTTGAAAATGAGGCCAAGTATAATTCGCAAATGGGCTATTCTATTTTTATTTTTTCATGCGCGGGATCGATGCGGGCAATCCCGAGAAGGAAAGATGGATCCATCTTGCCCGCTCGAATAGCCATTCAGAACACAGGATTTGCTACATCGTCCCCACGGGCGCTGCGAGCAATGTAATGGATGATATTATTATTTTAGTATAATTTCAGAGCTTAGCAAAGAGTTTCCAGCAATCTGATTGGTCGAACAGTTTCTTATATGACGTTATGTAAACCGCTCCACGCGGTTTATATAAAATGTTAAACTAAAATGTGAATAAATGTTACTAAACTGTTATGATTTTAGAAATTTCTCAGTTGTTCAGCTCTGAAATTATACTAAAACAATTATTCGCCTCAGGTTCAGTGAGTATTGTCGAATCTGATCCCCTCGACTTCGTCTCGGAGATTATTCGACGATCTTCACCTCGCCTTCGGCGAATAATTAATTATATATAGATACATATTTATAAAGAGAAAAAGCAGGCAAGAAACACGAGAAAAATTCTGCTAGCTCCGTAAAATGACATCATCCTAAATGGCTCATTAATTTTTAGGTAATAAAAATAAAGTGTAGTCGAAGGGATATCATTTACCTCGTTTCAACTGTTTAGTCTGATGAGTTTAAGGCAACCAAAAATTTCAAAATGAACAACAACCTATCAGAGAATGATTGATGAGGAGGTCGCTCCTTCTTCCTTGCTCATGATCTTGAATATACAATATTCTCTTCTGAGATGACAAAACGGAAACGTTATTTTGTTTACCTAAAAAGTATGTATCCCATGGCCTTAATATTTTTAATTCCTTTATCTCCATGATATCTTGCCAAGTTTCCACAAATGTTATTTCGATCCATGCAAAACCCAAATCTGGAATCACAGCTTTCGCAATTATTTTCATTGTTACTGAGGATGCCGATCTCACGTGACGATGGCCACATACGGTGGTGAAACCCTCCTTGTCACAGGTGAACTGCAAGGAGCCCTCGAAACCAATCAGCGACTTCCACGCGTCACGATCCAATGTGGTTTCACGATGCTTCCCGTCAGCGATCAGCGAGAACAAAGATTGGGCTTCTTTAGTGATGACAATGAAATTGTCAAAGACAGATCTTTGAGAAGGGTGTGGCCCAGTAGGTCGGTAATTTTGTCTCGTGTGAGTCAAATCCATGAAGGGGGTAAGTTTCTAAAGAAACTGTGGTGCTGCATCGAGGAGAGGGGGGGGAGGGGTAACAAGGTAATTTGGTAGTATCAACTAAGTTGAAATTGTAAATTGGCCACTGTAAAGAGTGAAAAAGATGACGTTTCGAGCGTTAGCCCTTCGTCATTCGCTCTGACGAAGGGCTAACGCTCGAAACGCTTTTTAACTCTTTACGGTGGCCTGTTTACAATTTCAACTTAATTTGTATTACCAAATTACTGAGTCAAACCCACTCTCTCCTCCCGGGATATTAAAGCTAACCAAAGTTCAGAATGGTAGTGAAACGTTGGCTAAGGAAGAGGAATAAAATACAAAGATGTACTTATAAGACTCCAGTCAACGGACATTATTATCTATGAGAGCTCCCATATCTCCGAAGAAATTCCCCTAAACGAAAAAATGGTCAACTGAGTAATGTTCACCTCAAAGAAAACCGCACCTATTTATAACTAATCAAAAATTTTCTCGACTATGTGAATAGCCCAGACCTTTTAGACTGTTCTTTAGAGCAGAAAGGAATTCGAAGAGAATAGGTTAAACCCTAAGACTGATTTTCAACATTGTTTTTGATGCTGTGTGCTACGTCCTGGACCACGTCATGATCACAAACTTCAGAAATCGTTGAGAAGTGGTTGTGATGGTGAGTTTCAACATACTACTCCAATCACATACGAATTTGCAACAAGTGGGTTAAACAGGTTGAAAAAAGTTCGTATACACGTACGTGACAACAAGATATTGTATAATAGGGTAGAAAATCACCCAAGACTTTTGGGTCCCTATGGTCTCATTCTATCACGAAAGAAACCGGAAATTATAATTGCTCCTGGAAACACACGAACTCCCACATCCCTTATTCTATCATTGACACAACTCGGTGACAAAGCCATCCGCGAGGCTGTCGAATTAAAATACTTCAGCGTTATGATTTCCCCTACAAATCTGCTTACTTTAGGCGGGCATCGTATACATCATCGGCCTAAGCTAAATTCAACCAAATTACGGAAACCTCAAAAATCATAAGGTTAGCTTCAAAACACACAGAAAATACATGCAAGCTCTCCTATGCACATGAATGGCGAGCAATGTGGCGTCATGAAGCCTGAATGTTCCAACGCTCCAAAACCTTAAACGGGCTTGGACACAGCTGGGTGTTAAGGAGCCTCGATCCAGCATCCATAAATGAAAGCAGAAGCTATTACCTTCCCGCCGTCGACCTTCATAACCGGCGTCCACCCGCCATCCCCACAACCAAAACCTCCCATGTTACAGAAAACTGAAATTGGCTTTGAGTCGACGAATAGTATAACCTGCCCATTCTCTGTTCGGCTGTAAAGTTAGCAAAAACAAGACAAAACAAAACGCGAAATGATAGACACGTAAAAAGAAATGAGAAATAAATCGTTTAATTACGAATTGAACGGAAAGATAATACTTGTGATATCATAAATTAGAGTCAACGATGGACGTCGTCAATGTACTTTCGATCAAAGAGTTTGCCTGTTACATTACTTAATACTTATTTATCTCCTAGTGTTTAACTACGTGGAGTAAAGAGTAGTATAGGTTCAGTTCATCTAAGATGATCTGGCACCAATTAATGCTTTATTGTCCCATCTTCGATAGCACTTACAGTATCGTAAGCATGCAGTGATGTCCTAAAAATTCCGCTAGCCGTTAATGCTACATCCAGTATAACCCGTGAAGGGAATGGAGTACGAGAGCACCCTGTCAAATAATGGCAATAAGACCCTCAGGCTAAGACCTCAGAAAAAGCATGTACACCACTCAACTGTTTTTGTCTGGTTTAAATTTTTATTTATTTAATCATTTTATTTTAATTACTTCCTACTTTTTTTAAACCCTTTATTGCTGTCGTTTTTTAATACACACGTGGGCCTGTTCCTATAGAAACTTACCTCCTTTCATACAATTCCTGAAAGTTTGAGACTGTAGATACAAAGAAAAATAATTACATGACTTTTTCCGATATTCACACTGCAAGGAGGAGGAAGAGCATTGCAATTCCACAGTATGAATCACTGAGCATAAACAACCTGCTTTTCAAATAGCAGTAGGAGAAACATTAAGAGCAGTCTTGCCCATGGGTGCTGTTAGTATACGTATGATCGAAGGAAACTATGTTAGCGCTACGACACCAGCGCTACGACACCACCACGAATGAAAGGGGAGTTTAGGCCGGAGTGAGGACTTCTACCATTCTTCTCTGCATTCTCTCCTGTATCCCTTACTTTATTTCGCGATACCATGCCTTTGCCACCACCTGGTTGTTTAAAATAGAAGATCTGGAACAAGCCTAGAAAGGCCAACTATCTCCAACTCAAAGCTCAATTCTGCGTTATTTTTTTATGTGACTACAAATTGTTCATCGGAGCCACGTCTTTTCAAAGAAAATGCTATTTTATAATATTTGTCACCGCGAAACTAAACTTGACGAAAATCAACGTCTTCTATCCCGTTGTAAAAGGCTTCATTTGTAAGAGAGTACATCACAGAAATCTTCCCAAAAGACTCGGGCATCCGTGATCGACCAATTAGCTTTAGCATAGTTTACTGCAAGGTTTATAAGAATACTTGATAATGAGCCTCACCAGTTTCAAAGCAATCCTTTCCATAGTCTTGGTGTCCTGGCCATGATGGACATTTACAGTGGTATGATCCCTGAGTATTGTAGCAAAGTGCTTACTTACCGCAGTTCTGTGTTCCTTTGTTGCATTCATCAATATCTACAAAAGAGATCTCAATCATGGTGTAAGTTTCCTTGAACAAAGTTGTTAACACCTCCACTTATATTCTTCAGTTGACCAACATGAATATCCGGTAGGGTTTTCTGAACACCTACGAACTCCCCTTCGCATTTTTGTCCATTTTCCAGAATATCCCGGTTTACATGAATAGTTGTACGATTCCTTGGTATTGTTGCATACAGCATAAGCACTGCAGTTCGAGATTCTCTCAGTACACTCGTTAATATCTGAAAGATTTAATCTCACTGCTTCGGTACGGAAATTGCTTGCTTCTGAATATCAGGTGGGGTTTTCTGAACACTTACGAACTCATCTCCGCATGTGAGTCCATTTCCAGAATATCCCGGTCTGCATGAACAGTTGTACAACCCCTTTGTATTGTTGCATAAAGCATCAGCACTGCAGTTCTTTATTCTCTCAGCACATTCGTTTATATCTGGAAGATTTAATATCACTGTTTTAAAGTGGGAATTACTTGCTTCTGCTGTAGCTCATTTGATCACATATAAAATTCCAACAATATCTCGCGCAGCTTTCTCTCCTCTCATCTATAAAACAATCTAGGCAAATCAAGTTTACCATTGCAAGTCCATCTAGATCCAGAATATCCCGCTTTACATGAACAGTTGTACGATCCCTTGGTATTGTTGCACTTAGCATCTTCACCGCAGGTGTGTTTTCCTAATGTACACTCATCTTCACTCATTTTCTTTTACTCGCACCTTTTATACCAACAGACATGCCATAGAAATTATTGTCTTCTTGATTAGAGCTAGAAACAAATATTCTTCTTACTCCTTGTTTACCAGATAAGTATGGCAATATTTACTCAAATAAGACTATCCGTCGCCAGAATACCCCGGTTTACATTCACAATTGTCCGATCCCTTTGTACTGCTGCATAAAGCATCAGCTCTACTGTTTGTTATTCGCTCAGTACACTAGTTTACATCTGGAAGATTCAATCTCGCTGTTTTAGTGCGGAAATTGTTTGCTTCTGTTCTAGCTAATTTGGTCATACACATATAATTCAGACGCTATTTGGGGCAGCTTTCTCCCCTTTAATCTACAAAACAATCTTCGCAAATCAATTTTACTATTGCAAGTCCATCCAGATCCAGAATATCCAGTTTTATATTTACAGTTGTACGATCCCTTGTTGTTGTTACACATAGCATCTTCGCTGCAGTTGTGTTTTCCTGATGTGCACTCATCATCGTCTGAAAGTAAAATCATACATTTAGTCACAACTTTTATACCGTAGACATGCTTTACCAAATGTAAGCTTCTGGATTAAAGTAGAAACAAAAATTTTCCATACTCCTCATTTTCCATTTACATATGGCAATATTGACCCATACACGACCATCTATCGCCAGAATAACCAGGTTTGCATCTTTAGTAGTATGATCCGTGGGCATCGTGGCAGACAGCATCAGCACTGCAATCATCTGTTTCTTCGGCACACTCGTCCACATCTAACAAAGCTATGTCATCCCTCATGACATATGAGTATTATGTTTTTATTCGTGCGAACCTATACTTGAGGTCTCTTTTGTATAGTTTAACGGCTCGTCATCCCAATCTTATCGTCTGAAGTGGTAGAGAACGCCCGTGGAATACAAGTATCACCTTTAGCACAGATCTGACCCTTGAATCCATCAGCACACAAACAGCGATAACCTTTGACAATAAAACCACTTTGACAAGTAGAATTTTTCTTGCAGGGGTTCCTTACACATGCGCTTTGGGATAAGGCAAATTACAACCACAAAAGTGAGTGGGTTTCTCAGAAAATCTGTATCATTTGTTAAAAACAAATGCCACTTCCTATACATCTATTAATTCTACAGTGTTGTAGATTTTATATTTCACCAGTGATAATTCTCTTCCCTTAAAAATAATCTTTTTATTGGTTACTCACAGCCTCTACGGTGTCTTGATATGAAACCGTTTCTCTTACTTTCACTACTTATCGGAAAAAATGTGGGACGCGAATACAACTCATTGCATCAAACGTGTAAATCAACTGAGGCCATGTATGCTACGATTATTTAGTTTTCCGAGCTTTCGCCGATGTACGGTATTATACATTTCCTGATGTTGCTGTAGATCAGCGAAAGCTTGGATAACCAAGTTATCGTAGAATACCCAGCTTCACTTGATTTAAACTTCTGACTTTGTAACACTATGCTACAAAAGAACAACATTCAACGCTTGAGAACTTATTGCCACCTAACTTGAATTTTTCGCTGAAATTTCTCCTATCTCACTCTCCAAAAATGGCCAGCTTTACAGCGTGACGTCATTTCTCGTTACCGTAGCGAGCATTAAGGCTCACCGTTTTACTGTGGAGGAACCTGGTTCTTACCTCAGCTCCTTGGTAAACAAACCTTGGGTTTTTTTACCAGGTCCTGTTTGTGTCCCTCATGAGTAGAATTGATCAATTCACATTTGTGAATTTCGTCGTTGGCACCTCGTTCTTTTTCAAGATTATAACTGACACAATCGGGTTCTATGTAACACAGGATCCCACAGAACTCTCTGTCCCTGACATCAACTCTACGAAACAAGGGGGTTTTTAGACGTTTACCGTCAAATGTCTTAGAAGACTTGAATTCCAAGTAACTGCCATGATCTAGACCAAACTGATCTGAAAACCAAAACGACGTCATCAAAATAACTATCCGTTATCCACATAATAAGTCTGATCTTCAGTTCCTCTCCCGCCGTAAAGCAAGCTGTTAGGAAAAGGCTGTTTGAGGAAGCACTATTAAATAAAGAAAACAAACAATCAAACACTCATAAACCCGCGGCCCTCATTGCACGATCAAAAGACCCCAAAAAAATTTCTATCAGTTTCAAATCAATATTTCAAAATCTATTTTCATAGCAAAATTAAGAATACAAATTAAATCGCTTATCAAAAGTATCAAACGCCAAGAATGATATTGAGATGACAGAAGTGAAATTCTAAACTAATGTCGGAGACTTCGTAATTTGAGTAGAACAGAGGTTTAGTTTCTTAATTAACACCATTGATTGAGTTAACCTTGAGTGAACTTTCATTGATTATCAATGGGAGCTCAGATTAGTCATTCTATTACGCGATATCTCGGTATATAACACTAGGGCCCCACCTTTTTAGGGGAGTAGTTTTACATACCCGTTCTAAGACGAATTCGAGAGATATTGATTAAACGCTTTGTTTTTAACTCAGTCGAGTATACTGATTGAGAGTATCGATAGGTCACAAACCCTCGTAAACGGAGCAGAGTTTACGAAACTAAGAGCCTAAAATAGCGACCAAAGCATTTCTCAAGGAGCAGGGAGGCTTCCTGGTAAGTTTACAAACCTTGGGTGGTCTGCGTGATTTTGGCCTACCAAGAATTAGCAAGAGCATAAGCAAGAAAGTCTTTATCAATGTTCATGAAATTCTTACCAGTAGCGAAAAAGATAAAAAATATAAGACATATGCATAATATCCAGTAGGACTTATTTTATGAGTTTCAATCAATCATTCCGAGATATGCAATTCATTATCCCTCTAATTCTTCCGCAGTGATATATCGAGTGCAAAGTAGCTGCGATGACAAAAACTTACCGTGCGATGTGAGAACTCCAGCTATCACGTAGCAAAGCGCTAGGAAAAGCAAACAGATGTAAACTGAGCGCAATTTATCCATTCAGCTGGAGAACTGTAATAATCCTACCAAAGTCTAATCGAGTGAGAATATGGCGCACAACACATTCTTATCAAATATAGGTCTCTTCATCCTTTCAGCCAATACAAGTTGAGTTGTCATTTCCAGCCATTAAACTTTTATAACGGACACAAAGATCTTTATCTTTAAACGAGGCGTTTCTATAACGTGATAATTGTGATAATAGTCTCTTTGGTGTGTGATTGAAAAAAGGCCTTGAGGCCTCTCAGATTTATTAATTATAAATGATCGGTCAGAATTTCTCTTGGATGAAATAAATGGTATTATGGATGATCAGCATGGAATTTGTGCTCGCAAACAAAATATTCAACAGAAACAAACTTTAATTTGTTTTCAGTTGGAACCTATGTTTAAGGCCGAAACCAGGAATTGACAATGCTTGAATGGTTTAAACAAACAAGCAGACATCACTTGCGTTGTGTACAATAGTCTTGAAAAGAAATCTCTATCGGTAGCTAGTATTAATACTGGTAGGCGCAATTTTTCTCTTAAGATAATTAACAAGTGACTATCAAGATGAATATAATTGATCACCTGAAGAGTCTTTCGATCAAAGGCTTAATCAAGTAGTATTCATTTAATTTAGTAAACTGGTGAAATGCATCTTTTTGAAGACCTTAATCTAGATAGATTCTTTAACAAATCAAAGGCTCCTTAGAGCAACTTCATAGTATGAATTTTTGGCGCCCTTGATGTAACCTGCGATCTGGCTTTCTTAACTTTGGAAAGATTTTTTGATCGTGGGCAACAGGTGTTGGCACAATTGTTGTGTTTGTAAGCATTTTGATGGAGAAAAATTATCTTAAATCGCGAATGTGTGAAGAATTAGTTAAGATACCAGCAGCTTCAAGATAAAATCAACGAAGTTTCATGCTTACCAATTTGCAGTAAGCTTAAGCTCACTTCTTATTCGCGGTGTTTGGGTCTTCACGCACGAATCGTTCATGTTATCGTCACTTTTAGGACTCAGGCGCCCATTTCTCTGCAGTCGAGTATTCTGTAGCATATTTCCTTTCCATTTTTGGCTCCATAAAGGTATGTTTTGATCAAGTTTGGAATAAAAAAAACCATCACCCTTCAAGGGACAGGGCGCCATTTTGAATCTGTCCAAGTATTTCGGAATATTCTTGCCTTTGTACTACCCCCCAAATATACGTACACTGTGACTTTGAACAGGGAAACTTGTCGGGGAGGGGGAGAAAAAGTGTTTGATCCAAATCTAATGCATGAATTAATGTCTAACAGAGTGAGTGATTTTTAATTGAATTTCGCCCCTTAACCTTAAACCTCATAGCATGACTTACGTCATACCATGAGGTAAAAAGCGGCTGAAAATTAAAATCGCTTGGCCAAATTTTATCCTGCACAGGAAATTCCAACGAGTGAAGGTGATTTCCTAGCCAAGAAGACAGAATAATGAATTTGAAAGAATTTAAACGTACACTGTACGATTCAAAGTGTGCTGCTCCCTTAGTCACCAAAACTACCATTATGATAATATATGAGCTGTAGAAGATCAAATATCCAGCTCGTACTATTTGAATCGTGTTCTTATTAAAGGTTGCCACGAACACCATTTTTTTTCATCTAATCAGTGAATTTCAACCTTCTGACACTTCGCTTTAGCGCCTCCCGGTTAGCTCAATGGATAGTGCGCTGAACTGTTGTGCGGGAGGTCGAGGGTTCGAGCCCCGGCCGGACCAACACTCGGGGTCTTAAAATAATTGAGAAGAATATGCTACCTTTCTAAAACATCAAGAAAAGGTTAGATATTCTAGTCTTCTCGGATAAATGGAGGTCCCATCTCCTGCAGGGTAAGGGGCAGGAGACGTTAAGTTCATGTTGATCGGCACTAAGCAAATGATAAGTAAACATTCTGTTAATTTTACTGTTTCATTTATTGGAAGGAATCTCACGGCCGTCAAATAGGCGAGAGATCTAGGAGTATACATAGATTCACATCTGACCTATGACACTCATATCTCCCACCTAGTCTCTTCATGCTCGACTGAACTGGTTCAGACCAACCGCGTGAAATACTGTTTCGATAGAGAGACTTTAGTTTTAATTATTACATCTCTTGTCTTTAGCAAAATGTTCTACTGTTCGTCCGTGTGGTCTAATACATCATCTAAGAATATACAAAAGCTGCAACTCATCCAGAATTTCGCCTGCAAAATCATCTGCGGCGCTCGGAAATTTGACCATGTAACGCCATTACTGGATGAACTCAACTGGCTTCCAGTTGACAAAATACTCAAATTCAGAGACGCTCTTACAGCTTATAAGTGCGTCAACAACTTAGCTCCTGAATATCTCTGTGCTAAGTTTAAAAAACGATCTTCTGTACATAATCGAATAACTCGTAATAATGAGAAGATTGACATTCCATTATTCAGATCAGCTACCGGCCAAAGGTCCTTTGCCTATAGAGCAGTATCTCTGTGGAACATGTTAGACGAAGACCTGAGAAACGTTACATCTGTAAAGGCCTTTAAGAAAGTCCTGAAACTTGCCATGAACGAATGATTGAGTGACAGTTAGAATTTAGAATTTAACAATAGCTTGTCAGATATAGTTAGCATTCATATTTGTAAATAGGTACGGAAAAACCTTTTTTTTTGGGAGTATTTATCATTAAAGTTTAAAGTTTAAAGTTAAATTTCCCACGCAGGGGCAGGGGCAGGAGACGTTAATTTCCCACGCACGAGGTTACTGTGTGATGGATGTCCTCCCCTGGGGTGGGATGGGTGGTTAACAGGATCCTCGTTGATACCAGTGTTTACTACACTGAAGGGGCTATCCTGTATAAATATAGATGTCTGCCTGTTTAATTGGCGGCTCTTCTATTGTATCAGCAAGAAACAAAAACGTAAAAACTTTAAGTGCAATCAGCTCTGCATTTTTCTTGGCTGTTAACAATTAAGAGCTTTCTAAAGCTACAAACAAATTTTAATGTCCATTACGATCAGGACAATCACGTTTATAAGGTCAGTGCGAAGTGGTTTATATAAAAAAAAACGGAGTCGGAACCTTGGACATACATAAAAGGTCCAGTTTTCTATACATGCTCCGGATGATCCGTTTGCGAAACGTCTCATGATTGCTAGTCACAATCGTATAATTCTATCGTCTTTTTTTATGTTTTTGGTTTCCTATGTAAGCATGCTTTTATTTCCCTAAGAAAAATACAGGTTTAGATGAAATAAACTGCACTTTAACCTGCTAATAAAATACAGTTAAAGATATAATCCTTACAGGTGGCAGGGGCTGCAAGCTAAGAAAAAAAATGTATTTAGGCTACCGAGGGATCGTCCCTAGAAAGCTTAGATTTCCTTCGGCTTTAGATATACCTCTTTTTTTCAAAGATCTTTTCTGTAGTTTCTTTGCTAGCTGCTCGCCTGCGAGGCTCATATCTTCAAAATTGCAGGTTGTCCTTCTAAGCATTACTGTCACTCGGACAAACAGATTACTCGATCAAATTCGTTACTAAGTTCTTCTTAGGGCATTGATGAATCACAAAAGAAATTTAAAAAAAATTGCGGCTCAGCTTTAAATATCCTTCCTTTCTACAATATACACTGAGTAGCGTTTTTGCTGAGCACCTTGAACTAATGATTCTGATCAATTAATTTCGTGAGAATATTGCTTGCTTTTGATGCCTGGTTTACAAATTCAAATTCGGGGACACTTTTCTCAGATCAGTCTTCAATTTACGACCACACCGAAAGGAAACGGAAAACGATTGTTTTTGATTACAAAAACTGTGCGAAAGGTGGTCAAGCACTCGCAATGAAGACGATCACGTAATGACTGTTGTGGTGGCATAAAGTACCCGACCCGGTGGCACTCTCTTGTGCTCTCAGCATCCGTCTTGACCTACGCAGAGTGTTTTGAGGGTGTTGGACAATGGCGAGGTGAAGAATGACGTTCACAGCAAACAGAATGAGGCAGAATTATAACTTCTTACCATCGTGCTTCGTTGGTTTGTGCAATTAAAAATTAATGTCTTCAATAGTTTTGCCGGGGATTCTTGCTTCGGAAGCTCGCGATCGATTCCGCTGTATTTGCTATACTTTCTACATTGATTCACTATTTAATTGTACTGTCCTAACAGTGAATGTCTTTGTCACTACACGAAACTGGGTTCCTTTCCGGCAAGCGTCCTATTTCATCACCATGTTTTGAAACCCCTTGGTGAGTTTTAGGGGTGAGGCAAACGTTCCTTTCATGTTCGTTGATTCTTTGGTCCATCCATCTCTTGATTTTCTGCCATATTTGTGCCGCATTTGCATGGTCTAAGTCCTCTCGGTGACCGTTCCGATCCCCTGGATATTTAGTAAACTAATTCAATTGGTCAAAAATGTATTTTAGCGTCATAAAAAAGCAAGACGACTAAAACAACAACAAGCAAACTAAAAATGAAAGAAAAGCTCTTCAACTATGTTTGTACAAGCATTTTTGTTTTCATCAGCATTTTACGGTAAATACCACGCTTTGAAAACAGCTGAATAAATCATTTGGTCGAGCAAGGTAAGTGGCGCACTTGCGAAACCAAATCGGCCATCGAATGAAAAGGGAGTAACAAAAACCGCATGGCTATTATGAAATAGGAGTTTTGACGGCGACCGCTTGAGTAGTTAAGTTGGCTTCGTGGGTTTGCAACTGTCTTTTTCTCCGTGGAAAAAATGACTGGTGTTTTTTTTTTAGAAAACAAATCACTTTCAAACCTGAGGGATGTCCTTGAAGATCCTTAGAGGAAGAACCACGATTTACGTCAAAACGTTAATGCCATAACGCTGACGTGAATTTGACTAACGGAAAGCGGAATTTAGTGTCTTCCGCAATATTTGTCCGATCAAGAGGTTACAAGGGAACGACAGATGTTTTTTGTCAGTTGTCAGTGTATATTAAATGTAATATATATATATATATATATATATATATATAACTGCAGACAGTGCACACTGTTTCGACCTATGTGGGTCATCAGTCTTCTTCGTGCTCTGTTGTGCATAAGGCCTTGCAAATGTAATATAAATTATCGCCTATTGCATTGCTAAACCCACAGAATATTACCTTTGTCCTATAAAAGCAATATACTGCACTTTCTATCGGTTTTAATTAGACTAGTTAGATCATGCAAATTATATTGTATATAAGCAATGGTAAAGTTTATTCTCATTAAATCCCCTGATGAGTGGGCGACCACGAAACAGGCTTGTAGGGATGAACTTGTAGTTTACTTGTCTTTTTCCTCCCACAATATATACTTCGCTCTACTTCTATGTATTGAGCACTGTTCTACGAAAATCAAGTCACACTTTATATATATATATATATATCATCATCATCATCAGTCTTCTTCGTGCTCTGTTGTGCATAAGGCCTTGCAAATGTAATATAAATTATCGCCTATTGCATTGCTAAACCCACAGAATATTACCTTTGTCCTATAAAAGCAATATACTGCACTTTCTATCGGTTTACCGGCGTATTAGCCCACTTAGGATGTTGGTACAACACCCAAACAGCTTGTAAATAACTCGCCATCCGGCTCGTGATTTTTATTCCAAAAGTTTGGAAATCACTTGACTCCGGCTCGCGGTTTACAAACTTTTCTAGTGTCTTCCCAACCTCCCGCGAGGGGTTATTACGCCGGCGAACCGATACAAAAAGCGGTATATTTGAAATGTAAATGAACCAAAACAAGTTTAAAAATACTTCTGAGATAAAGTTTCGAAACTTCAGCTGGAAACTCTTTATAGTGGCCAATTAACATTATCACCTCAGTTGACACAATCAAAATATGAGGATTTAATATTTTTTAAAAACCATCTTGCTCTACTCCCCCACTGACGAAGCAACAAAAATGTCTAAAATCTCTGAAAGAGCATAAATCATCAGCTTAGTGGCATACTACTTGTCTGCAGTGGTAAAATCATATGCTTGAATACGTTGTTTATTTCTAAATTTATGCTGTGATTGACTCCCACCAAAACATTTATTTTGCAGTTGGAAAATCTTATTTTCGTATATTTCCTCTAAGGTATTCGTCTTTCAGAGGTATCGTAAGAACTTGCGCAGTGAATAGCTATAGTTTCGCTTGAAGTTGGTCTTCAGCCTATGTCAGGTTCTAGAAGCTGACAGGCGGTGAAAGGCAAGGATGATTAGACAAAGGTAAAAACAAAGCCACGAAATTAATCCCACGAAAACGTTAATTACTCTTTTAGGCTTGATTTTCACAAGTAGTTATTGTGAATGTGACTACGACATTCTTTTCGCTATTAAATTTGTTTTGTTCTCATTATCTATGTCTAGCGGCAGGAGGAAAAAAGTGAAGAGAAAACAAGAGGCGGAATTAACATAACGCTGTAAGACATCTCAGCTGGCTTGTAACACTATGAAACAATTTCTTTTGAGAACACTATTGTTAACTTTGGAGAGATGTTATTTCGACTCTTCACGCGGGTAAGACAAAGGAAAAATTCTAAATCCGCGTGAGAAATCGAACATCAGACCTGTGCTTCAAAACTCTACCACTGAGTCAGTGGGTTTGGCCACGGCAAGGTTCACATATGACACGCGCTCTGCATATACTGCTAGGATCAGAAATTAATGTAAAGAGAGTGACGTGTGTAAACAGAATAAGAAAGAAAGTAGACTTTGAGCTCGGTAAGGAAATAGAGAACGAGGTACGAGAGTATGCGTGGGAGTCCACGTTAGGAACTGCACCTCAAAAGTTGGGAGATGTCGTTGAAAATGTTGCGTTTAATAAAGAGATACTGATTAAGCTTTCTCAAACTCTCTCCCAACTCCCTAAAGGCAACGGCTGCGAATGCGGAAAAAATTAACCATTCAGCTGAGTTAATCGGCGCGTCAGTCTTTTTAAATAAAGATTTTCCGCAATGAAACTGCTGCTGTCACCTAACTGTCGCGATCTTCTGTTCGAGCGCTAGAATATAAGAGAGGGACGAGCCCTTGATATTCTGATTTATTTAATGGCTGAACTAGGGCTCACTCTGACTCCTCCAGTCATTGCTATGACTCAGTTCGATTAAACTTAGAGCTTCAGTTTCCCTTTCAAGGCCCACCAGAGGAAGGAAATTAAACAAAAGGTTCCCTCTAGACCCCTACAAAAAAACAAAACAAACAAAAGGTTTATTCAAAAAAAGGTAGTTAATTTTTCAAACTGCAATGTTCGTTATGTGGGCTTATTTAGTGCGGATGCTTGTTAATGCGGATTACAACAACTTTTCAGGCTTGCAAAGTTTAAAACCCACAAATTCCCATGCTGCACAGAAATAGTACATTTCTTTCTAAATTATTGTCGCAGCCCTCTCATCAGAACTCTAAACAAACTGTTCTCTTTTGATGGAAACAAAACAAAGTGGTTAACAATGATGTCCGGATACTTGAATGCATAATGCCCAATTAACATGCGGTTATACGACTCACAATAAAATTGTTCCGTGTTGATGAAATTGATGAAATGATAATTAAGGTAAGTGAGCAAAGAAATGCAACCATTCATCCCAGTTTTTGTGATATCAGCATGTTTAAAGTTGCGATAATCGTCCCTGCAAACTGGTTTGTATAACTACAGCGATGCAGAACAATTCTTTTCGTAAATCCGAATGTGCATCTAATGTACTTTCCAGCGTAGTGCCAGGTAATCTTGCGTACATGTTTGCGTGCACTTTCCGATTTCTGATAATCCGATTTGGTAACCGTTCGTGCATGATATTGACCTTTACCTTCATTTGCGTATCTCAAGGTCAGTAGTTAGGCTAGAGAGCATTTTTTTGGAGTAATTGACATTAAAGAAATTTCTTTTCTTTTATTTTATTTTTTGGTACTGAAAATGTCACTGATTAATGACTACTGTAGTTCTTTGCAACATTAAAGGAAGAAACCTCGTCATAGGTTATTTTAACTGCAGCCTATTTTAACTTTTTCCGCTTCAACTTAAGACGTGTTAGCCTTGTAAAAATGCAATAACAAGCAAGCAATGGGAGAAAAAATATCAGAATTTTCACTCTACTCACAGAATTAGAAAAAAGGGTTTTGTCAACTTGTCAAATTGTCCTGGAAAAGCCCATCGTCTTATTTCTCAGTCATCCTATTTAATTGCGTTAGGTGGTTCGATAGTGGCAGCAAACATATTCCATATACTTAGATAAGATTATCATTGTACCGGATTTTTTTATGTTTACACATACACTTTATTTATAGATACGCTATAAGACTAGAATCCGGTGATATGTACTTCTTAGGATTAACGACGAAATTTAGAATTCATCAGAGGTGGAAATGTCATTTTGGGTAGTTAACAACTATTCACCGAAGGGTTAGTGGTGGATATTTACCGAGCCGCGAAGGGGCAAGGTAAATATCCACCGCTAACCACCGACATCGAGGTGAATAGTTGTTTTAGTATATACTAAAACAGTGGGATAATATACACCACCAAAAATTGATTTGAGTGATTTCTTCGCTTGTCACGGATGCAAACCGGGACGCCAATTTTCCCGAGTTGCTCGAAGGTAAATAGCAAAGGATATTTGGAGTTTGACGAGCCAATCAGAGCACGCCTTCAACGCTATCCACTGTTTTAGTATATACTAATAAGCGCTAGCTCATGGTTTGATGCTGAGTATAAAGAGAGGTGCAAGACGAGGGTGCAACTTTTTTCTTCGTAGAAATGAAATGAAGCATAGAATCATAGACGTACAGATGTCTGATGTCTCGGTTCTGTATCCAAATGAGCAGATTCTCGGCTGAAAAAAAAAAAAACAAACAAAAAGTTCGATACACTATGCGAAAAATAACTTAAGGGAGGGTCTAGATACAGATTACTCGTTTATTTTTCTTTTAAAAATCTTTTTTTAGGGTAAGGTATACAACCTTTTTTATGCGTTAGAAGTGTCTTAATCGTCTCGACTTTGGGAGTCTCACGAATTCACAACTATCGCTGACTAGATGAGCGAAACCCTCGCAACAATTTCTTGAGAGAAGCAAAATTTACCTGACAAAGACTTCAAAGAGTTCTTCCTAAACATCACAGTTTAAAGAAGGCAACTATTTCTTTTAATGACGTGATAACAACCCGTGCATATCACAAAGCGAAAATCATCATCTATTAAACTAATAATGGTAAAACAATGCAGCTTGCGTAATGTATGAACAGGCATAGAAAAAATGTTTTTTCTTTTCTTCTTGACCTGTTAATGATTTGGATAAAGTCTGGGTTAGAGAGGAATCTTGCTGCTTTCTTGGGGTCGAATAGTTGTATTCTAGCGTTATTTAAACCTTTTTTTCCTCTTGCTACTGTCTTTCCAAGTGAATGCCGAAACCGAAGCAGCAAAATCCCCGAGGCAACTGTTTGCGTCAGGTCAGTGTACCAGAAAATTTTCCTGTTTGTCTAAAACACCCACGAAAGTTGCTGAAAGAATCCCGGATCTTTTTTGATGAACAAAAGAGTCTCCCGGAGTCTCGCTAATTGAAAATATTTGCGTAAGATCATCGGCAAAAAATGTTCCTTGTTGATGGAAATCAAAACCCTTAGGTATATAAG